TGACAATCACAACTTTCAAGAATTGCAGAATCTGGTGGTTTGAATGGTCATCAAATTCGATGAACGCCAGTCTGATGGTCACCGACGGCTGGGTGTTCATAGACATCGTAAAGGATGCCTTCGGCTACAGCGGTATTAATCAACGCCAATTGGATATCATGATGCTGGAGGAAAATTTCACTGTTGGTTGCTCAAAAGGGGTAGGACTTTCATTGCGCTTGTGATTATAACCTAGTTTTTAGACTACAGACAGCCGCGAGGCATTTTCATTCCTGCTAACAGCCCCGACCTCAGTCCCATAGAAAATCATTTTGTGTTAATCAAAAGAAATTACCGCAAGTCAATAAAAGGACCCTCTAATTCAGCAGAAGTTGGATTTTGGGCCTAATGGTTGCAAAGACTGATCCACCATGGATGAATAATTCGTTTCTAGGCTTGCCAGGCTAACTAGTGTATCATATGCAAAAGGACAGTCAACTAAGTACTGACATCTTGTTTTTACTATTATTCTTCATTTCCTCCGTTTAATGTGCCTGCCCTACTCACCCTCCTTTATAACTAGCCTTAAATAACCAACCTGCAATATAATCGTTTTTGAATTCATTGTGACCCAACTGTGAAAAAGTCGGTGCCTCGGTGGGATTCGAACCCACGACAGTAAGGGGAAGGCTTTAGTACAGCCAACGCTCTAGTCACCTTAGCTACGAGGCCCCAACGGACGCCGCGAGTTTTATTACATTTGGGTCAAGTTTACCCTCTCAACTTACTGCAATGTCTGAATCAACCAAATCTGATGAAGTAAACTGACTGCCCAAGTAGGATTTCCTAAGTAACACATCTACAATCCACAGGATGAGTATCTGACTCCTGTAATTCATAAGTGTTATAACAGACTTCAAATAATTCATTTTGTTGTTTTTCGGCAAGAAATTATCTTACAGCTAATAGATAGGAAGTTGTAGCAGTTTCGAAGGATGGCCGTTTCTTTAACGCAGCAAAACCTTTGGGCGCGCGGGATGGGCGGCCTGTGCGTTACAGGAATTTTTGCGCGAATTTTGTAACACTTGATGATATGTGTCATCCCTGCTGTACGTCACATATAGGAACCAGTCAACGACGGCCAAATAATCGATCGAAGTCAAACAATTTGCTCTTGTATATCCCCGTAGGACGCCGGCCGTCATAAAAAAATCAAGCCTGCCTTATGGGCTCCAGTGTCTGTTGCGCAGGGAGTCCTGAACCCGTGTGCTCTCATAGCTGACCGATTAGCGTGACATAGACACGCGAATGGTCTAAGCAGAGCAGTTGGCTGAACTTGCGGTTGGTAGAACGTTGAAAAGGCGGTCTATTCTCTTAGCCCTGTTTCCTGACTTAAAATGATCACTGGTCCAATTAATCGGAATGGTGGCCCTTATACGCAAAGCAGTGGAAATAGGGAACGGTGGCGTACCCCTCTCGATAGCAAAACCAAAGATAAACATCAAGAAAACTACCGCCAGAACGGGATCGGGGGTCAGGCGAAACCCCGGTATCGGCAGGAAATGGCTCTAGCTGGTGCACCATACGACACGCCAAAGCCTGTTCTTCACTCAGCCATCACCTCACAGAAGCAAACGCGGAGTCGAGCACGTGGCCGAGCACGCTGCAGCGGTGCGGAGAAATGACGACAGCTCTCAAGTTGCGGCTCATTCGACGAGATCCGACCACACATTCAAATTCGCCGAAATTCTCGCAATAGGCGACAACCGCGTGAGCCGGGAGCTGCTTGAGTTATGGTTTAATGGCCCCCAGTCTATTAACAAGTGCAATGACCTTCCCCTTCAATACTCAGTGTTGAGAATTTGCCTAGGCGGAGAAATTAGCCACGCGAGGAGCACACAGGTGAATACTTTCCCCAACACCAGGGTCGGTGCGTCAGATGGTCGAGGAATCATCACACCAACATCCTACCCACGTGATGAAATTGCAGCAATTAACGACGCAAACGTCGGCCATCAAACAGTCATGACACCACGTGCAATGATCCCTGATGAAGAGGGGGGGGGGTCGTGAACATTCATAGGTATGCGGTAGCATGGCGACAGCATCCTGTAAATACTGCAGCCCCTTATGTATGACCCACCCGTATCTGCTTTCGTCGCTGATGATGGGTTCGAGTAGGAATCCGAAACGCCAGGCTAATAAAGCCTTTGTCCCAGCGATCGTATCTCCTTCTTCAAAACGCGGAGTCTGTCCGTCTGCCATTGACGCTGCACGCACTCGGGCGCAATCCTGCTTGTTTAACTGTGGCCCGGTTAAAGTAGTTAGTCGAATTGAGGATTAGCCTGAGTTAACCGGCCATTTGTTCCTCCGAAATTTCAAGGTGATTTTAAATAAATACTTGTGATTTCCATGATGTCTAACGCCACAAGTCCTCTTGGATAAAGTAGATACAAAATTAGCCCATCTTTGTTTTCCAAGATTTTGCTCGGATAAACTACTGATAATAATAACATAAATCTACATTATTAATGTTGTGGGAAAGTATGTCTTCAGTTTCCTTTGCTTTAATAAAGAGCATTTTAATCTTAAAAAGTTTGCAAGTATGAGAACTACCCAGAAACATGATTATTCGTGTAGTCTGATACTCGCGGATTTATAATAATTGCTGCTCAGACAGGATACAATGGCAACTATAAAAATGGAAACATTTTATGCGTACTAGAAGACCTCCTCATGAAGGCGCAAAGTGTTGCACTATTAGCTTTAAAGAAAATATAAAGCAGTAGTTTAAGGACTTTGGAAACAGCGAAAAAATACCTGCTTTCAAAATAAGTGCGAATCAGAATGCTTTGTGTAGCAGAAAAATTCCATCCTCCCAGGTAAAAATAAAAGATGCTAATTCCTACAAAATGAGTGCTAGACATAATGTTCGTCCATCATTTCGGGAAATATGGCTGATTCCATATAAACACCGGAAATCGACGGAAAACTCCACAATGCTTGGGCAGTTATGAGCTCAGACTACGATTTATGCTGGTGAATTGAAAGATTTTTGAACGAAAGTCAGAATGCTAACGTGCATTACTTAACTTGGGATTGTGCTCCATGCGGATCCGCACTGCAACCCCACCATTTGTTTGGGCGATTTTAGTCATCCAAGTACAACTATTGTGGCGGTACTATCTCATGAAATGTTAAACGGAGTTCTGAAATGTGCTTTCGAGTAAAAAAATTACTCAAGTAGGGCTCTAATATTAACTACTGTAAAGCATGATTTAAAGATTTTTTGGCCACGTCACGATGCCGGCTTCTGAACGAGCTTCTCTTCAACCGCGTGCAAAAACTACACTGTAACAAATGACCATTTGAGTCCTATGAACTGCCACCAATCAAATGAAGGGACGAATATTTTTAGGCATGTTTTCTATAAAATATATTTCAATATGTCGGGGCATTAGAAACCAATGGGAAAATTCATACCACTCAAGTAGTCATTTTTTACCCTGCAGACTGCCAAAAAGAAGCTCGTTCAAAAGCCGGCATCCTGACGTGATTAAAATATCTTTGAATCCTGCTGCACGATTATTAATATTAAAACCCCACTTAAGTTTTCTTTTCGAGTGAAGAAGGCACTTCAGGAGTTCGGTTAACATAAGAGAGCACCTCTAGTGGACGTAGGTTAAATGGTTTGGTCGTCGAACACCATCTACCAGACCGAACGCTCGTGCGCAGAAACGAGCACTAGTAGAGAAGCAAGAATGTGGACTAACATGAATACTCGGTGCGCTCTGTAGTCATTGCTTACAGCCACCAAGCTCTCCACCTCTTCTGCAGTGCAGTGCGTGACCGATCTCATGAAATGTTGGCTGAAATTCTGCAAGGCGTTTTCGATATGGAAGGATTAATAACGTGGCGCTGTAATATTAATCCTCTTGTGGCATAATCTTTTAACATTGAAGACTCGCCAGGATGTCGGCTTTTGACTGCACCTGTTTCCGACCTCCTGCAGAAACGACGCTGGGTTGAAAATGACCACTTAAGCAGCATGCATTTTCACATTGATTTTCAAAGGTCTTATAAATTCAAACATATTTTATAGAATACATGCGCAAAATAGGCTTTCTTTTACTTATTTGGTAGAAAATCACATGTTCAAGTTTTATAACTGACGAAATTGTATATTCAAGTTTTGAAAAGTTTCCCAATACCCGAATAATTTCGAGCCTGATCAGCCGCTGCATTAGCACTTAGCGATTTTAGTTTACACGGTGTATGCTTTGCGTGCAAGCAGAATCATACATTCCTGTGTGTCTTTAAGAAGTTGCCATATAGAGCTTCTAAAATTTTGCAATTGACGCGGGCCATGTTGTACATTTCATGAGGAGCATTAGTAAACTATCATATGCGATGCTGTTTATATGGACATCCTACGGTCTTAAAAATCTCATAATTAGAAACTTATTTAAAACCAAAAGACAACCGCCCTTAGGGTAAAAAATGAGAACACAATGTGATTTTCTACCAAACGAGTGAAAGAAAGCATATTTTTTGTGCATGTTTTTTATAAAATGTATTTGAATTTACAAGACCATCGAAAATCATTGCGAAAAATGCAAGCTACGTAAGTGGTCATTTTCTAACGAGCGTCGTTTTTGCGGGGAGGGGTCAGAAAAAGGTGCAGTCAAAAGCCGTCTTAAATTTTAAAAGATTATGCCACAAGATGATTAAAATTACAACGGCCCGTTATTAATACTTCCTCATCGAAAAGGCCTTGCAGAATTTCAGCCAACATTTCATGAGATCGGTCACGCAATGTAACCTAGTGGAGCAAGTAAGCCATGAGAAAAGCCCAAGACTCGTACCGAAAGTATGCTTTCCCGATGAGTGACCGCTGAGTAGACAGATCAATGAACCACTTCTTGAGAGTTCACAGCTAAACCAGGGAGAAACTAAAATACATTTCCTTTCACTAGGGCAATGTATGACCTGACCTGTACATAAATAGGACAACCGACTTCTCAATTGGGCGGGTAGGGCGGAGCGGGTGCGTTCCAACCACTACCAGTGTTTGGATTTGGGGCTCCAGGCGCTGTTGGTGGATAGGGCAGCCCTGGGTTACCGGGTCCACTCGGAGACGAACCCCAGGCAGAGCCAATCGTCGGTGGCTGGTACGGTGGCGGAGCGTAGGGTTGCGGTCCAATCGGCGTTGCGGGATAGGGCGGCGGTGGGTCCTGAGGAGGAAAAAACGACGTAGCACAGTGACATGCAAACAACCCAGGAGACAGTCAAAAAAGGAAGCAGACTAAAAACGCAATGCGTGAGGAACACCAACTGCCACCAGCCCTTAAAATTTGGGGCAGACAGCAATGCCTTCAGGGAAACTGACATAAAACGGGTGAAAAGGACAAAAAGGGCGTACATAAAATGCTCATCTCAGATTTAAAAATTGAGATCGAACATTGGGAAAGCAAGACATCTAGAAGGATACCCAGAGGGGAGGGGATAGCCGTCACGTGAACAGCATCGACTGCACTCCCCCCTCCACACTTATCGTGCGGAGGCGGGAAAGCAAGGTCGAGACGACTGGAGATATGCGTGGGTGGAAAGACTACACTGGCACAAGTCGCTGTCACGTGGGCTGCACGCACACGCTGGCCCCACTACCCGCGGGCTCAACTTCGATCACGCGAACAGCATATCAGTCAGTACTTTCTGGTTCACGGTCCAAGAGGGCTGAATTGTCCAGCCAGGTAGAAATCCTCCTAACCATGGCGCCTTGGTGCGTAGCACGGAAAGATAGTGGTGCAGACCTACCACCGTGAACATGGGTCAGATCGGCCGTGCAGAGTCCCTGTCTCTCCTGCCTGCAACCTGATTGAGCCACTTTCATCTGCAACTCCCAATTCGCGCGACTGCATGCGCCATTCGTGCTGATGATTTAAACGTGAAGCAGAATGAGACGAAACCGGAAGTTACGCATGACAAGGTGAGGAGGGACGCTAGTGAGCCCAACTCCTCGCAATTACATCCTGGACAGGAAATGGAACGAGTATGCGTGCACTTGTTGGTAGTAAGTACTTTTAAAAGTGGACTCTAAACTTCTAGACAGAAAGGAAAATAGTGCAGAGACACTCCTGGTTCAATTCCAAAGTAGTTTTGGTTGAGAGACGTAAATGCAAGCATACGGCAGTAGCAACAACAACATAAGAGATCCTGTAAAAGGCTCAGGAGAGAAAGTGCATGCTAGACTGGGCTAGAGCCATGTTATATGCGTTCTGGCTGGGCGGCCCAACGGTCCGACATGTCTCAGACGCACACTCACACCTCGCGCTGGAGAGTACACAACTTGGTTGGAAAATTGCTGATACTGCCTTCTGAGTTGCTTGCCCCAGTAAAGACTGTCCTACCAATCCTGCCTTTATGGTTTTTGATTTGGAAAACTCCTGGTTGTGGAAGTTTCGTATCCGGACAAGCGAAAAGGCCAGCCCAGTCCACATATCAGAGAGTTCTACTGTCACTCGATGAAGAGAAGTGGAGTTATGTCGTAAAATACGTACTCGAGCCACTGAAAGGTAGGGCGATTTCGCCCACGAAGTCTGAGTTGGTCAGTTTGATACCTGAGAGTAGAGTCATTAACTTTTTTAGACTGGTGGCTCGGTACTGTCTCTACATGTACGTCAAGGTGGAGATATAAGGATGCTTTGAAAGGTTTTAATTATGACAGGAAATGCCCAAAAAATAACCAGCCAATGCGATTCAGTCTGCCAGCTGACTCAGTGCAGGGGACGTTACACAGAGATGTGAGTTTATAACTGAACAAAGTACGCTAGACAGTAGAATAGCATACGACTTCCAGTCACAGGGAAATTGCTACTGTAAGATGACGACACTAAAGAGTTAAACATATCATAAATGTACGATTATTTCTCATACGACACTTGTAAAATCCACTTCGTCAAATGTTTATCAGATTTTTGGCTCGTAAAGTCAAAAAACAGTTGGGTCGAGGCAGGTCCGAGGTCTGGAGGATTGAACAAATAGGAAAAAAGCAGACGGGTTCACTGACCGGGATGGTCGGCTTGGAGAAGGGGACAGGAAGGACGGGAGGATCGTCATCCATTGGGGCCAGCACAGTCCCAGTGGCACGAACTGAAGAACTACGATTATGCCGCTTTCGCCGAAAACAGCAGAAATATACGAGGGCACAGAAGAGCGCAATCATTAAAAGGCCCCCGAAGACGGAACCCATGGTGAAGGCTGGCTGAAAGCCGCGCCTAAATACAGAAAAACGAAAAACAAATGAGTAAATTACTGTCTTTTTTCACTATCAGAGGAACGCGAATGATGCTCAGGAGAATACTTTGTACGAACGAACCATATTTTCAACCACAGAGGCCGTGACAGACTATCTAAGGGACTCATTGTGGACAGGGTGTCGCACGGAAGACGCAGGCAGTGATTTAAGGGTTGGCGTTTGAATGCAGGTATGACTGTCCCTTACTGGCCGAGGTGTGCTCTACCGTGTGCTTACCCATGGGGTCAGGGGGTAGTGGGCAGTCGACAGAACATACCTGGAGGCACTAACTGTTTTAACTACCTCTCCAACTGTCGTGACATAACTCGAAAACCAAGGAAGCATGCAAACCTGACCTACTGAGGAAAGGCAAAAGCACAAACTGGGCGACTCCGTCCCCGCCCTCTAGGATGACCAGTTTACCTCCCATGACGCACATGGACCGAAAGCAAAGCAACACAGAATACGTGGAGTTTAGCAGCCAAACACTAATTTGGATAACCAAATTGGAGAACAACGAAGGGAACATTTTAGATCAGCTCTTGCCTACCACAGTACGCCTTTGTGTCCTGATGTCATTTTGATAATTAAGAAAGTTCTACTGAGAATAAATATGTCAGTTGGCAAGATTTCCCGCAGAGCAGAATAACTCTACAAGGAGTTGTGCCTTAAAAGAAAATGTGCGCTCAACGGCCGAGTGGTCCTCAGAGATGGGTGCTTGAGCCCTTTACTATCCCGTTCGAGTCGCGTTACTGTTTGCTGGAAATAAATGGAAAGCCCTTATTGGCGCAATTTACGAAGTCGTAGTTGATTAACTAGACGAGTGGCTACATGATAGACGGAACGAAGTCAGCCGGTAGAAGGAGCATTTATGCAACGACTGATAACTACAGTCCCAGGAAAACGCCAAAAAGGAAGATCTGGAGATAGTTGGGAGTTACAAGAAAATCGTGAACATCCCAAGTGACGACTGATTGAGGGAGGTTAGCGGAAGCACGTTGTGGGCGAACTACGATATAGAATCTAATTACTCCATGAGTTCAGAGTGGAAGCAAGCATCGTGAGAAAGAAGAATTCTGTGAAAGCAGTGTTTACCAGTGACTTCTTGTCTCAGGACGTGAAGTTCCTCTCTGCAGTAGGTTACGGAAGGAAAAGTATTAAATGCCCTAAAAGAGGCCATAATATAGAACGAGTCGTTTTAGTAGGGCGGCAAAAATCGGATCTTAATATTCTTACAGTCTGCAAAAAACCGAAGAAACGGCCAGGCACTACGTTTCGTAAAAAAGTCTGAGACGCGTAACTCTTGGGGCAAGTGATCTTTGCTTTCTCCAAATCGCATAAAGTGGCCAGTACAGAACCGGATTGGATGAAAGAGCTAAAATAAGAAGTTCTGACTCACATTTCGCCCGGACAACAGCGCTCGCCAATGTAGTCATAACTTCGACAGCAGTAGGGTGCGGACATTGGGCACACAGTGTATTGGTAGGTTGACATCACACCGTACTGATTTAGTTCCTGACGAGGACCCTCGCACACGGTATACCGACCTTGAGAAGTGAGAGGGTCAACAGAGCGGAAAAGGATGTTTATTAAAGGTAGTGACCAGAGGGAGGCAACTAGGCGAGGCTCGATAGACTGTTTGTCGTAAACTATGATACCATCACTGTCTTAGGAGTGCAAAAGAAACTTATGCGTGAGCACAGTAGGTGTGCTAATTCACGATATGTTAACCGGAATTCTAAAATGCGTTTTCGTTTCGAAAAGATCACTTAAGTAGAGTTGTGAAATTAGTCATCATGCAGCATAATTCTGTAATAATTTATTTACCTCAGGATGCCGGCTTTCAAACGAAGCTTTTCCGGTCGCATTTAAAACAAACCAGACTCTTTAAAAAGTGACTGCTTAAGTAGCACGAATTTTTCTCATTGATTTTCGATGCCCTTAAGAATTCAATTATATTTCATAGAAAACATGCATAAAAATATTCCTTTTTTTACTCATTCGGCAGAAAATTACTTTTTCTTCCACTTTTACACTTGAAGAGCGGGGGTAATTTGGTTTTAAAAAAGTTTCCAATCGTGAGATTTTCAATACCGTGAAATGCTCGTTCATAAAGCATCGTGTTGCTGCATTTGGTAATGTGGTTTCTTAAATTTACAATATGGCTCAAATCCACTGCCAAATTTTATGAACCCCATACGATCTCCTCTTAATGCCGGAGAGAAACGTATGGTTTTTCATACGCGGAAAAAACACGACTTGTAGTTTGGAAGCCCTGAATGCAAGTGCAAAGGCAGGTCGTGCTTAAAGTTATTCGGGAATTGGAAATGTTTTTGAAAACCGAATTACATCCGTTCTTCAAGTGCAAAATTGGAAGAAAAAGTAATTTTCTGCCGAATAAGATAGAGAATGAATATTTTTATGCATGTTTTCTATGATGTATAATTGAATTCTTAAGGGCATCGAAAATCAATGAGAAAAATTCATGTTACTTAAGCGTTCACTTTTTACAGAGTCTGGTTTTTTACATCCGACCGGAAAGAAATTCGCTCAAAAGCCGGCATCTCGAGGTAACTGAATTATTATAGAAGTATACGGCACGATGAGTAGTTTTACAGCTCTACTTAAGTAATCTTTTCGAAACGAAAACGAATTTCAGAATTTAGGTCAACATTTCATGAGTTAGCGCACCTAGTGTACGTTTAGGGTAGAGGAGCTTACACAGCATCTAACCCACTCGCTCTTCACATACTGACGATACGTGTCCGCACAGTCAGGTATTCGTTCGTCTACGCGTGCCACCGACGTGATGCTTTCCCCCCCCCTACCCATATCCAGGGCCGATAATGGTTACCAAATGCTGTCAAAAAAAACAGGACACTCAAGTTTCAATCGAAATTTCGATTTTTTCATGTAAATGAAGGCCGTGCCAGCAGATCCAGGTCTGGTACATACGATATACTGGAAGATCCAATACAAGACTGCCAGTCACAGTCAGTGCAGCACTAGCAAAGATTACATGCACCGAACCCAAGACAGTTGCATGGAGCAGGCAATTAAGAGGGGGTGAAAAGAAGTTATCTGAGGTGCTTGAGCATGGCCAAATTTCGCATTACAAGAGTTGTTACAGTTCCTGAACTTTAAGAATTTACTAAATTTCTGCCCTTGCAGAGCACACCATCACATGAGTACCTGGCACAACTGCTTCACTTTATGATCAACTAGATTACTACCTATTCCACAAATGTTCCCAGATAAGAAAACACTAATGAGTTGGTTGGGGGACGAAATACTGAAAGTGGGTTCCGTATGGAGGCCTAGAGGAAGCACTTGACTTGAAGCAAAGTCTGCAGAGGGGAACAAAGCTGGTAGACAAAACAGCATTAGCGACAAAGGCAAGGGAGGCTGGAGTGGCCATTTCTGGCTTATTAGCTGTCGTCAGCCAGCCATACCCAACCCCGAGGTGTGGGACACCCGTGGCTCGATTCCGCGACTTGTTGGTTAGAAGTCCAACGCCCTTATCCGTTGAGCCACGGGCTCGTGGTTCTGTCGGAGCAATCGGGTAAATATAATGGTAGATGGGTCCTCACAGATCGCGCTGCAGAACTCACTCGTCACACTGTGCCTTAGTGCCCTATCTTGAGCCCAGCCAGCAGCCGCGCAGAGGCGTATAATGTAGGCCAAATATCATTACTGGCAAAGGTAAGAGAGACTGAGTAGCGTGGCGCGATCAGTGAACGCATATCTACCATTGTATATACTCGATCGCAACTGGCAGAACCATGAGCCTGTGGCTCAATGTTTAGAGGCGTTTGACTTCCAACCAACAGGTCGCGGGGTCGAGCCCCAGGTGTTCCACACTTCGGGGTTGGGTAGGGCTGGCTGACGACGGCTAATAAGTCAGAAGTGACCATGCCAGTCTCCCTTGTCTTTGTCGGTTATGCTATTGTGCCTCTGTTATGCGCCGCTGTATGGTTGCTGGCGGGACTCGAGAGGGAGCCCCAAGGCCCAACGGGACGAGTGAGTTCAGTAGTGCGATGGGTGAGCGGCCATCTGGGAAAACTGGTAGAACTGAAAAACACAACTTGCGCTTAGTCTGCAGTACAAGATCATTGCAATTTCGATCACGTCCAACGAGGTGAAATCTCAACGCCCAAAAACCGTATTTAAAGATAAGTATTCATGTGGTAGGTCTGCTTCATCTAAACCGAACGATTCAGTGGCTCATCTTCAAGGAACATTGGTCGGCAGTAATTATGCATCGTCGACATCGTCTAGTGCCGTTCGATTGATGACGCAAAGATGTCCTAAATGGGTTGCGATGAAGTTGCCTTGAATCAAAGAGGAGAAAGTGTTGGGTCACTAAAAACGTTCATCAGATTGTAGCGGGTCTGCATGAACTCCTATTGCCACAAATGAATGCGGTGTAAGTAGAAGGCCCTGCCACGTCAGCCACTGAACCTAGTCTCATCCTCGGTCGGTGGACAGACTTTGAGAGCCAATCAGTAAAAAGGAGAGGGGTTGACAGTGAGACACTCCTCACAAAGATTGATCGGCCTGCGCGGTTGTCTGATGAAGGGATAACTCGATTCTTCCCAGATGTGGGATTCGGGCTGCAATCGCTACCTCTTAAAGTGTTTTTTTTTGACATTATCTCTTTACTGAGGTCTGATATCCCACCAAAATGAAACCTGTTATAAGTGGAACCACGCCCATCTCCTGTCATTGGGGCACGACTAGAGTTGTAAGACTGAGCGATGTAGACGGAGAGCAAGTCTACCTCTGTGCAAGCGAACACAGGCGCAAATCATAAGTGTCTCCCTCCGAGACAGTCGTGGACCACGTCGCTTTCGACGGTCGAAAGATCGAATAACATTGGATGGATTTCGAAGCTGTGACGAAAGACTGCCGCATATAATTTGTCACATGTGAAAGCAAATGACGACCGCCACTCACGGAGGCAACCGATCGATCGATACTAGCTTTGCAAAACAGAATGTGCATTCGAATGCTTGTCACTGTCAAGTCTTTTCGCAATGGCGCTTAGGTGATGTGTTACGAAGAATTGTAGCCGCCTCCTTCAGCAAAACAACGGACGGAGATGTAGGTGACTGAAGGGTAATGTATGAGAATCAGATAACTTAATGTGGTAAGTCACCAGCAGAAAATATGCGGGATTTAATTCTGAATATATCCATGACGAGGTTCCCCTGACGAATAAACAACCCTTTAACGGTTGAACGTCCCAAATGTGCATACGTAAGTTTCGGAAGTACGCAAATCGTAATATTCGCTATTCATTATCACATAAAATAATGCTGGAGACAGCATTAAACTTGGGGTAAATAAAAAGCAGATTCCGTCAGTGTGTAGACTCACTCAGGCGATCGTGCGACGCAAGTTTAAAGCCAATGTAAGCACCAGCTAGACCAGCGGCAGTCCCAAGGAGAGCTGATTTACGACTCATTGACCTTTTTGGCAAATAAAGGGAGAGGAATGGGGATAAAATAAGTCATACATTACACATAAAGTGATCCTACTTGCATGTTTACCAAAAACAATTTTACACATAAGCGAGGATTGAGGTACTTTTTTTATTTTTTTCAGAACATAGACGCAGCTCCTTACAAATTGTCCTATTTCATATACCCTAACTTACTGTATCTAGCTCGAGAATTGCCAGAGCTCCTATAATCGACTCCGATCTCTAATGTAACACGTAACGGAGGCTAAAAAACCCAAATTACTGCTCATACTTGGAGGTTACTAAAGTAGCCCATGATCTGACGGCTGTAATCTTGAATATTTATCGAATGCAGCCGGTCCCGTTAGAGGAAAGAAGACAGGAACTAACAGATCCCCAGAATATTGATCCGCAGGTGCATGAGTGACGACCAGTATGGCCATTTCGGGCTTACTTTCTGTCCTCAATCAGACAGACCAGTAATCGAAAAGCAAGTCAGTGGTTTCTGAGAGGAACGAAGCAATGTGAGTAAACTAGCTGATTTGGGATCAATAGGTTGAAATTTTTACGAATAGCGGTGCAGACCAGATTATAAGACTACACGATTCTGCTGGATCATTTCAAGTAACTGGTTAATTTGGGTCCGAGAGTCCATGGCACAATTTACGGGTCCCCACAGAACTAACATAGAAGAGAGGTCTCCGGTCCCGCTCGCTCAACAGGCACGAGCCTAGTTTCTGAGGCGACGATGGTGCTAAAGTCTTAATAAGTAGCAGACAACAAACGCCGTGTCATAATACCACTTTGGCTTGAGAGATTCTTTGCGGATAATCGACTTTCCAGACCCGTAAGCAACTTTGACTGACTATTTCCGATGCAGAGACTGCAACCGCAAATTCCTACGACCAAAGAGTCAGGTAATTTCGCGGTAAGCATCTGATAAAGATGGGTTTCACTACCCACCAACTTTTAACGCGCTGACTGCCCTTCAAGCTGTCTATCATGCAGGTTGTTTCTTCCAGCGGATTCTATCGTCTTGGCGAAAGACGATAGATAGATAAGACAAAGATACTCCGAGGGAGCTGAGAGCAGGTTTTACTGATGGACAAAGAGTGCATGCTACTGCTATCTTCTCAGAAACGGAGTGAATAATGGTGTAATAAAAGATCGCGATATGGGCCTAAAAGTACATTATCCAGATGTATTTCGGCGAGCACCAGCCTCCTCAGAGATGGCGGGGCTGTGAGGTGGCTATCTGGGGCTTTAGGCGGACTGTGAGGTGGCATAAAACCACCAGCCCCCTCTAGCCTCTTCACCCCAAAAATTTGGGTAGGGGACGCCGAAACACATTGTGTTGAATATATCGAAACACATCACAGCTTTATTTCAAGTTAGCATTTGGATGAGCGAAAAGACGCACTACACGATCCCTCAGTCAGTAACGTGCATATTAATGCGTGGAATTTCGTGAGGGTGAAAACCTGAGAATACCATGCTCAGCAGTGGAGTTTAGTCCCTTCGATGTATGTTCGATGTAGTTAAAGGCAGGCTATTGCCGGTTATGCTTGTTGCTGATTTATTCCAAAGAAGCTTGTGCCTTTAAGGTCTCAACCTGTGTTCGTGGAACATGCAGAAGGTTTGCAGACAGCAGTGTGTGGGGTGACCAGTTGGTAATAAGCGGTCTGGGGCGAAGCACAACTCACTATTCGCGTGCCATGATAGAAAAGGGTATGACGATTAGTTAGGTAGTTGGTGTCGAGATGTCGAGATGGGGATATCGACTATACGTCGACTTGGGTCGCACCGTCTATATCGCCATAATATCGAGCTCGCAAATGTCCGCGTTTGCGCCCTCAAACCTATCTGCTATTTGATTGGTTGGTATGTGCGTCGCGATAACGTTGTCAGGGGCGCAATCAACGGCGTGCAATGACACGCGCTAATCGATAGCATCCGGTGCTCTAGCGGGCTCAGGCAGTCCCTGCGCGGCACTTCCTGCTCTGCCACCTAGCCGTGCGCACGCTCAGTTTGGCCGACATCCTTTTTGTCCTTTTCTCGCCTTGCTGTCTAACTGTTTCTTTCCTATTGTTCCCATTATGTTTAAAGATGAAAGCAATCGCATCCGTCGCCGTCACGTACGACGAAAAGCAACAGAAATCATAAAAAATATTAGCGAAAAGGTGAGGCAAATAGGACCGTCGGACACATCATCGTCGTGCCCATCGTCTGACAGCCCGACACGTCTATGGAGTCGTCTTTCTCCTCCGATGACTCGGAGTTTGAAATAGACAACGCATCCGCGAACGAAATGAGCTCGAATTCGAGTCTGTTGACGCAGCAGGTAGCGGAAGGAAAGCCAACGCTGCTTACGTCATTAGGCAAGTGGACTGCATGCTCACAAACGGCTCACACTCATGTGGATAGTCTGCTGAATATTCTCAATGCCTTCCACCCGAGATCCCGTCGGACGCACGCACGCTGATGGGTAGCGCAAGCAACTCTGCACCGTTTACGGCTATGGGCAGTGGTGAGTATGTTTATTTTGGCCTGATAAGACAGCTGACTAACCAGTTACGTTACCCATTCCCTCAGGGTCCATTGCCTGAGATGGTTATATGTCTAGCTATTGATGGCCTTCCTATTCACCCGAAGACAAAGCTTGAGTTTTGGCCTATTTTATGTAGGGTTATGGAGTCCATAGTCAGCACAGTTTCTGCTGTAGGTATCTGTTGTGGTAAAGGCAGGCCGCCGGGCGTCCAGGCATTCTGCAAATGGTTGGTGGATGAGTTATCATAAGCAATTTAGGCCTAAATTGCTGTATGTCTTCGCAGCCCACTTTGCAGCCACCCTCGCTACTATTACTATTGAAACCCTCTGGCATATGTAAGTAGTGGAGAAGGTGGATAAACGAGGACGGCAACCGGACTCCTGAAAGGGTTAAAACCAACTGCAACGTCAAAGGGATGTAGCACGTTGTAGAGGTAGCAATTACTATCTTATTTTGTCAAAACATTGTTTCAGGACAAACCGAAAGACCAAAAACATTAAACAGAAGACTCTGCCCCAAAACCCAAGTTTCTGGAGACAGTTAACTTACAAACCGGTGGACCTGCTGCCGATGTAGGAATGACGCGAACGTTTGCCATAACTTGAAAAGCCAGACTTTGACCGACTTGGTTTACATTCTAGAAGAACAACATTAAGATTTCCCCGAAATTCAATTAGTTCAGAGTCAATACCTGAGAATATGACTAGAAAACTTGCAAAAAGAAGGAGATACACGATGATCCTCATCTTCGAAAATCAAGGGATATGCAAACCAGAATCTAACCAACCACAGCGGTCACTCAAGGTCCAATAGGCGGCATAACGCACCACCAAAGACTGATTAAAACTAATACATTTGGAATTTCTGGAAAATAACTACAACAATCTCGATTGTTGTGGAAAATACCTTTTTGCTTTCTGATTACTCTCTCAAGAGGTTGAAGCTATTCCGAACACGGACCCATCGTGCTGCGTCATGTGGCCTGGCTAACACGGGAAAGTATGGCAGCCGAAATTTCGCACCTCAATAACGTGTAATAGACGGGTCGTACTCACACTTGGAATCCCCTGAAGATTAGGCAGGTGACAACAGCGTTGTTCATGGAGCTGCTTCCGCGAAGAAATTGTCCAGCATCGAGTTAGAATCTTCTGGGACACCGCTCGTATTTCCGACGGAATGGTCCAAGAATTCAGAGTATGTAGCTAAAGTTACCGGCCACCGAATATCATATGTTTAAAAAAAGGGACAAGAGGAAAGAGAAGAAGCTGCCGCGATGTCCTTGTCTGCCAATAAAAGAGGACACGCACAGTCACGCAACGCTCCTCTACCTCCCGCCTTATTCTCCTTCCCTTCTATGAAAACAACTGCCCGGTGCTACAAATAGGCAAAGTCGATTGAGATTTTCACGTGAGACTTCATGCTTACTATTTTGATTAATTTCAGCAGTTATATGTCGGCTTAGAGGAAGCTGTATTTGTGTACATCAGGCTCAAATCTGTCTGATGCCTGTCTAGAAGTAAGTGCTTTGATAAAACTCACGACGAAGTGCCCAGAACTGAAGCCGAGGCTATAAAATGGCCACTACATATCTCGAAATGCAAGTTTGCCTGAGAGAGAATACAGTCCTTTGAGTTAAATTCTGCTGCTGAAGTAATCACTATATGCGAGCTCTTCTAGGGAAACTACGAGGATCACACACAAGTTTCCACTTGTAGAATCCCCCGCGCGTATGAAGTTTTCGCACATAACTCATATGTCGCGCCAGGAGTCGTGTGATAACGGAGCCCAAGAGGCCAAAATATGCGAAAATGAAGCCTTGCGGATGGCCAATTATAGGCTCCACGAACGCCGAAATCACCAGAACTATCTACCAAGATGACCCTGACTAACTCGCTCATGATGCACAAATTCATGTCCACGTTACCAGGCGGACACGTGGGACCGACCGCCAGTCAGGGGTTTTGAAAACCGAGCTTCTGCGCAGTTTATATGACTCCTGCTAGTGTTTTCCTACTTCGTGTCGTTTCTCAGTCTACTTGCTTCTTAACCTAATGATCATTTGCGTATGGTCTTTATTTATTTTGATCTTTCTGAAGCCTTTGAGTACGTGCCATCTCGAAGACTCTTAGTTGAATAAGAAGCGCTGGGACTTCACAGTCACCTTAATAACTTTATAAGTCATACCTTCTAATCCTTTAAAGTAGGTCTTTGTCGGACCTATTCTTTGGTTTGGTGAAAGAGGTTAGTCATTCAACTATTAAGAATGTTCAGAAAATTTACAAAATGGCTCTTAAGTACGCCACATCCGAACATTTCCCACTCTGGTAGATGCCAGCTAACTAAAACAAAATTTCAATGGGCTTGAAGACTATAAACATGCTTTTTTCTCCTCTTCTGCATTAATAATAGGTAAAATCTTCCTCATATCTGCTCACATGTCCTTCCTTTGAGAGTCATATCGCTTCCTAAGATTCCTCGCCAGAAATGTTCATTTTTCCAATTTTTTAGTTCATGCATCGTGCCCTCACAGAATGTGCTCCATTGACGCTCTTGGCGAAGCCTTCTGTATTCGCCATATACTAGTAGTCTGGTCGCATCTCCCTTGTCGCATCCTCGGATGGACTCGAAGGAATCTAACCGACCGCATCTGGGTTCCTACCACCTGGAGAATGGTTTTTAATTTCCCTACTTATTCGCCTTATTCGAAGCCACATACAGGCCAGTCCTGACTGACCCGCCTACTTACCCCTTCATGCAATCCGTTATACAATGCCATATACAGCTGACATTTATTTCTGCCCTAACGATGTCCGATTATAATACATTATATACCGCCACATGCAGGCCGGTCCTGCCCGCATTTTCTGATATTATTTTTTTTACCGAGGGTCTTTTTTTCTCCTGTAAAATTAATCCAATGATTTTTAACTTATCATGTGGAGTTTTTTTTTCACCCCTCGCTAATCATTTTTCTTAATGGACTACTGATTCATAAACTATGAATTGCAGTTTTTACATATTTCGCCCACCTCGTCTAAAATTCGCATGTAAATTTATTTTTACTTGCTTTGATGGGACTCCGACGGGTCTTTAATAAAAATTATTATTATTCTTCCAGTCATTACCCCTGTTATTCGCCCATACAATCTTCGCAATTCTTCCTTCATTATACCTCCTCCCGCTTCCCTCACCTCTAAGAACTCTTCTTTTTGGCTCCCAGGGATATATTCTTCCGGAATAGATTTCCGATAGACACAACACCATCAGATAATTTTCATATTTCTAAAAGATGGCTGTGCCTTTATCTGAATACTGACTGGATTAAACTTTTGTTTTCCTTATTCTTCCCGAATAACTTTCTCTATGGCATTGGGAAATGACCATCGGGAATTGACGGCGCCGCCAGCAAATTACCGCCTCCGCCCACATTTCATTCTTTGTGCGTGGTTTTGAGTTACAGGATGACTCATCAGAAATTTCGATTTTTTTGATACTTAAGCCCATGCAGCGTGTCGTTCACAGTACGTGATATGTTCTCTGAAAAATCCTCTCAAAATTTATTAGGGCCATGTTGACGTGCACGCTGTAGGCCGCCTCCATTTCGTTGCTCGCCAACCATCCTTGGGATTCCTCTCTGGCCTTCAAGATTCCGAGCTCTCACCCCCAATTCATGATTTTCGTGGTTCTTGATTTCATGACCTAATTTTGACTTCAGGCGATCAGAGTGGAGTCCTCTTTCCTCGCCATCTGCTAGTGGTTTGGTCGATAAGCAAACTAGTATCGTGGTCGCACCGCCCACGCTTTGATGTCTCCCCCCACACCTTTGAATGTCCCCCCTCGCCTGGACTGTAAGCGGACTGTGACTGAACGCAAATCGAGTCCTCTTGTCTTGCCACTTTGACGCTGATGGCCTCATCCGGTTTAGAAACTCTGTCTTGACAATGTCCGTTTCGAATCCCTTATACACTACTACTTGCAGGCTAGTCCCACCTGATCCACATATTTACCGCTGCATGAGCAACAATTTTTCTCCTTAAAAACTAATCAATTCATAAGCATTTTGTCTTTTCGAACTAACCGTTTTTTATAAGCATGTGCTAAGTGCTGCGTAGAATAAGTCTACTTGTTTAAAAATTTACTTTCCTGCTCAAATTCCGTCATAAGCATCGCCATATCTTCTAATACCCACACGGTCTCCTCCTTTTGGCCCATTACTAAATCAAAATGCCTTTGGAATCATTTCTTCCACGACAGACTACTTCTTTCGTATAACTCTTCTAAATGAGATATCGCTAGTCCGCAAAATAGATCAACTTATAACTTTTATTGAAATAAATAACCCAGATATAATTTAGATTACTGAAACATGGGCAAATGAAGTAATATCGAATGCTTCGCTAAATGTCCCAAACTATAATCTCTGTTGACAGGACTGTACTGGTAAACAGGGCGGAGGTTGTATTATCTACATCGAAATCACCATTGAACAAAGTCGTCATGATGTTTCAGCTGGAACATTCTCTGGAGAAGCGTTTTTTGCTAAAAGACAATCTCAGACCCACAAAAACACATTAGTTGGATGCGTCTGCTCCCCTCCAGAATGTGTTAATGATTACCTAGGCGTCAACCATCCAATGGACAATATATCCAACAATGAATCTGGCTATTAAATAACTGCAGGTGATCTAAATCGCACAGAAATAAACTGGGTTAAATTATCAGCCTTCACTAGGCACAATGAATCACTATCTTCAATTATCTGCAACCCTCCAAGAGACGCTTGGATAATTATTTGTGGCACCTGTTTTTCCTCAACAGTCTGAATCTGAACTAAAACCCCCAAGAACCCACAACTATTTTCCCTGAGACAATGCTACTCAAATGATTCAAGTACTGATTTAATAACGAATATATTTATTGTTCGTGTACAGTTATTTCTAACTAGCTGACATGTAACCAGTAGGGTTTTCAAAGGCTTTGCCTATTATCCTTATCAAATAAACTGAACTGAATTAACTGACTGGACACAAATAGCTGACAGTCCCACCCAACTAAGGAGCATACTAGACGTCATTTTCACCATCGACATCCGGCCCCCTATCTATACGAACTACGACAACATAACCCTTGAAAGCGATCACGAAACAATGATATAAATGCTCCCCTTAATCACAAGAATAGCACCCGATTTTAATAACTCGCATAAATCCAAAAAAACTTGACAAGGGTTCCATGAACAAGGATATTAGGTCATTGCACTGGGTCCCTATTTTCTAAAAACATCACCTATGGAAGCATTTAACATTTTATACTTTACCTTATTTATAATTCGAAATACCTTAATAGATGAACTATGGCCGTATGAGAAACCACTCATCCGAAACTTTCTCTACATGTAGCCGAAAAATGAAGAAACAACAACGCGACCCGTGTTTAATTTATTTATCCGCAATCAGAGGAATTGAAGAAATTCATAATCTGGTAACTAAAATGGAACCAAAAGAGAACAAAGCAGCAGAACATCGGGCTCTAGAGTGTCTCGAATTAACAGCTCAAATTTTTCAGAAACAAATGAATAAACACCGAACGGCAGGACCCTAAATTATGATCAATTTATCGGGACAAGGAATAACAAACGACAGCCAGATAGCAAATTTATTCGGCAAATATTTATCAGCTATCTATTTGGTCGAGGGACAACTGACTCCTCAACCGACCGAGGTGATAGAACGCACCCTTGGTAACA